ACCTACAACGGGTCAATTAGTTCTTCAGATGTTACCTTTAAGTTAATTTTTTGTTTTGTGATATTAATAATGCTAATATATCGATATTTTTCTAATTTTGATCTATTTTTGCTTCTGTTTAGCGTCGTCACAGTTGCTAGGTGACATGACATACGCCGGGGTGGAGGGGAGGCTAGACCGTCCAAATTCACAGCCTCTTTTTGTCGGGGCTTCCGGGTCTACCAAGGACCCGGCCCATCTCGACAGGGTAGTCTGGGTCCTCCGGAGGACCCGGCCTGTCGTTTTGGACACAGCCTTTGTCTCAGCCAAAGTAAAACAGGAAGTGACATCAAAGGGGAACTCATTAATAAAATTAATCTCTTCTTCAACCCTCTTTGATAGACTCAAAATAATGTAAAGAAACATCCGATTCTTCTCTAATTTGTAACGTTAGCCGTTGTTGCAACGCTCTGTTCACGTGCAGACATTCCCCTTTGACATCACTTCCTGTTTCTTCACATGCAAATATCTCAACAACTGTTCATCTCAGCGATGTGAAATTTGTTTCACAGTAATGCTATCTTTCCAAAACATGCATTCGCATTTATCTTAAAAATTTGATGTCGCAGGCACTTTAAACTTCTGCTGATTATACAGACGTGGCTTCGTTGCAAGCTCTCCCGTCTTAAATGAAGCAGCCCTATATGAGAATTTATAGCATCTCAATGGAAATATATGAAAAGGTTTTTTTAAAACAAGCTTCTCTCTAAAAATAAGGGGAAAAAAAGATTGAGTGAAGCTGCTCTGCAGGCGGTGAACAATGAACGAACAGCAGTCATCTCAAGAGAATAAGAATATTGATGTGTCACTTTATTATTGGTTAAAGCTTCTGATGCAGTGCAGTAATTACTAAAAAAAGGCTTTAAAATGGAAATAATCAATACCTTCATAGACCTGGTGTTAAAAGCTTTATGCATATGTTAATGTAGGATCTGACATAACTCCCTTATGAAAAGAAAACCCAGCAGAGGTGGATTATCAAATCAGAAATGACTATAAGTAAGATTGCAGCTATTATTTATTTAGGAGCTGCAGTTTGAAGGTGCAGTTTAGCTGAACTGTTTTGGGGGAGGTTTAATATTATCAGTCTAACAGGTAAAATGCTCGGTCACCCAGTCTCCATTCAGCTCTCCCCACACACAAAGGCAAAGCTCCCAGTTAAAGACACACGTCTTACCTGAGGCAGAAACAGGCACTCTTTAATCCAACCGATGCGGGGGTCGTTTCTCTTTCCAACACAAGCTGCACATCAACCTTTTCAGCCCCTGTGAGACGCGTTTTTTTGTCTATCAGAACCGACGTATTTCCAGCCGTGGAGGAAATGGGTGACCCGGCTAGTTTCTTTATGATTGTCTGTTCATCTGCTGCGGTTCTCTCTGTGCTTTATGAGGCTACTTAGGTTACGAGCTTATTGTTCTGCACAGCGGAATATATAAGGAAAAACTCAGAGCTGCCTGACAGACCGGTGGCTTTCATCTAAACGTCGCATACCTCTCTATTTAAAGGGCAGACGACGGAAAGAAAGAGGGGCGTCATATGGCTGGCTGTGGTTTATTTCCCAACATTTTTCGGTGCAGCGGAAATAAATGTTCGCAGCCGAATGTGTTATCTTCCTAAAATGTGAGGCTTGAAAGGATTGCAATGGAGGAATCCGCTGACATTTGTTCGTTTGTCTTGTTTTTTTTTTTTTTCCTGTCTCTCTCTCGCTCACCGGGGCGGATTCGGTCGGCTGGGCTCGCTTCGCTGTCTTCTCGCTACAAAAAAAGGATTAAAAAATAGAAAAAAGCCGCGGGTTGGTTTGTGTCGTTTGGTGTAAATTTGTTACCTAATTTCTAACGAGAAGACGCTTTTTCTCCGCGGTCCGCCCCGGCCCCGTTTGTTACAATGTAACAATGGAGGAAGAAATTCTTCCCTGCAGCCGCTTATATACTTGCTGCGACATCACGCGCACGCGCAGCGTTGGTGCATGCTGGGAAATGTAGTGTTTTTGATTGTTGTTCAAAATTATTTGTCTTTTCTTATTTAGTTTTTGTAAAAAGTAGATAAGAAAACTAACACGGGTAGCTCAAAACATTAGTCTTCAGCTGACTGACGTTTCCACCCAGCTGTCAGTTTCCATGGCAGCTAATTGACAGCTCATTAACAACAAAGGGACAGATGTGAAAGGCCACTAAATGACACAACAAATGACCCTTTCCTGTAAGGCTTGGGTACACACTGTGTATTGACAGGATTCCCAACAATTTCCGTTTTGAAATTCTATTCATTTTCAGTCTTAAATTTTCAAAAGTTTGCCAAAACATATATAAATTACCTGTGACTGTTTATACATTTTGTGGTCTTAGTATTTATACGCTTCAAACGCTGGAAAAAAAAAAATCACAAACTGCACAAATTTTTTTCATTACTTTATGGTCATAGTATCAGGGTTTTTTGTACTGGAAAAAAACGCTGTTAATTTGTTAACAATTAGTTCCATTTATGGTAAAATTAAATTAAATTAAATTAAAACCTTAGGAGTGTGCTACCCTGTAAGTGAAAAGTACATATTGGATTTGTAACAGATTAATAATATGTAGTTATACAGCTATATATTATTCAATATTTCACTTGTGAAAATACCCTGGGGTTCAGTCAAGCCTAAAGACACAGCATAAAGAAGAGCTATGGACAGTAGGAGATCTAAGTAATTGAGTCTCCTGAGGCAGAGCTACAGTGTAAATCTGTATGAGTCCTTRATCAGAAGCTCAAAAACTATGACGTTGATGGATAAAACCTTCAATTTAAGGCTTGATGAGGTGAACTTCAAGTGGACATCATAACTATGCCCATGTTCTTTTTTCTATTCTTATCCAGATCGGTAAAATATTTACTTCTTGTTACTTTTCAAGACTGCAGAAACTCTGTAATATGATTATAAGAAAACAGTCAAACAGCTGACATTACATTGATACGTTTTTTTAATAATGTTGATGGTGATATGGAGCAAAAACTGACACCTAAATTATTGAGCATTTCATGTACAAAGAGCTGAACATTAACTAGTTTTTACACAGAATCAAAATGACAGTTTTTCGTAATATGTCTAAAAACAACGATGACGAGATATTAAAGAAATTTATAAAAAAATAAACAAATTGCTTATAATCGATGAGGAAATAATGGCTAAAAACAAACGTACTGAGATGTTGATGTGCTAAATAAGCTGACAGGTGTGGGAAGCACATCGATCAACCACCAATAACACAAATATTATTTGTCATATTTGAAGATGCTCACATGTGCTAGTTTCTTTTATTTGTTTCAATGAAGGGTCCAAAACGTATTTGTGTAACAAAGAAACCTGAAGTGTTTCAAAAACAGCTAGTTTCCAGAACCTAGTTTCATCTCATTGTTCTGATGCATTTAGATGGTTATTGAGTTTTTATGTGTATTTCTGTGACAGTATTAATGATAATGGGTTTCTTGCAGACTGGCTTTAATTGTGTAAGGCAACCCAACACACAACTCTGAATTGCAAACAGAGAGTTCAAGTGCTGTTGATAAAACCGTCTCAACTTTTTATGTTTTTTTAAATTGTTTGATTGTTTGCACAACAAGAAGCCAGCTGAAAAGCACAAAGCTGTGACACACCAAATACTAAACTGACAACAGCAGCACCCATCATGACATTGAGGCGTGAGCAACAGAGAAAAAACGCAAAGGCTAATGGGAGACGATGGCCGAACAAAAAGGAGACTGTAACTTCACCATGGTGTGGTTGTTTCCTTTGAATTAAGACAGTGGGGTTTAGTGGGGAGAGGGGCCAAGGTGCATTAGTCCCATGTTCCTCCTAGCTGCCACAGCAGGGTTTACTCAGACAGTCTTCACATATTCCTAAATCAGCGAGCAGTATGAAGATAGTGGTGGCAGACTGGATTGGGTCTATATAAGAAAATACTCTTGGGCCAGGTTTTCACTTTAAGATGATATGATACCCATCACTTGTGTCATCTAAAAATAAAAAGGACATAAAGAAGTGTTGATGTTAAAGGTTGCAATAATAATCATTATGGCATCAAGGTAAATGTAGAAATAGAGAAATCTTTACCTTTCATTGTGTCCAAAACAAAACACACTTCATCCTGGAAGTTCTGGATCATCTGAAGAACATAAATGGTAATAAGACTTAAGCAACACATTAAAGATAAAACTTTTGTTAATTTAGCTTACCTCGTCACTGATCAGCACATGGATGCCAGTAGGACCCTGTTTAAAGATCTGATTTATCTGTCTGGGTGAGATGTTGAAGAGCTGGGCGAGTTTCTCTGTGAGCTCAACAGCTGTGAGCTCCTCCAGGTAAATAGCGTGATACACTGCAGGGGAAAAAAACAGAAATGGTGGAATCAAAAACAGCAGAGGATATCATTTCTTACTAGGTTTGCACCAATAAATCGGCCAGCTGATCTGCGCCAATTTCCTTCATTTTGGGAGATCAACAGATACTTTGTTAATGTCAGTGGAAAAGATCAGCTTCTCATCTTCCTCCACAAAGGTCTGAAAATCAGCCACTGTCCTCTTTTGCTCTGCTGTGAGCACTACCTCATGTCCAGTTAGGGCTTGGCGGTATGACCTCAAATTCATATCACGGTGTAAATTGAATCCCTTCACTGTAACGGTATATATCGTGGTAGAAAATTATCATAAAAAGCAAAGATTATGTAATTTTTAGAGCATTTATTTTGCAGAAAACTGTAATCATAATCAAACCCAGCATTTTTGCTGTACTGCAAATGAACATAACAGAAGTACAAAAGAATGTTTTATATATTTTGCAAAACTGTTTCAACAACAAACACATTTCTCAAATTTTCAACACCAAAATAAAGTGGATGTTATAAACAGTACTTCAAGTAAAATTAGTCATTTAAACATTGCCTAAAATGTTATAATATGACAGGGCCTTAAGGGGCTTAAGCTGCACATAGTTCTAAATAAATGGCAAATGGACTGTACTTATATAGCGCCTTTCTATCCAYCCAGGACACTCAAAGCGCTTCACACTACACACATTCACCCATGCACACACACCTTCACATACTGACGAAGGAAACTACAGTTGTAGCCACAGCTGCCCTGGAGCGCACTGACAGAAGCGAGGCTGCCATTCACAGGCACCACTGGACCTTCTGACCACCATCAGTAGGCAAGGCGGCTAAGGTGTCTTGCCCAAAGACACAACGACTGAGTTGACTGGACGGGGATCAAACCGGCGACCTTCCGGTTCCAGGACGACCCTAACCACTCTACTACAGTCTTAGTCATAGTCAATATCTTCTAGTCATAAAACAATTTCAGATAACTGGAATGTAAGTGTGGTGAAGCCAAATAAATGTAATATCTGCCTGCCATACACTGAGCTTCTGCCTGCTGAACTGACCCGCTGCTCTGCTGCGCTGTCAGCCTCAGACTGTTACATTAACAAGATGGATTTATGACTGAATGAACATCCACATCTTTTTTTATCATCTCTGGGTAACAATACATAAAAAAAGTTTTTTTCTCCAACAACTTGGGTGTGAAAAAACTACGGTTGTTAAAGCTTCGCTCTGCGTGACGTGCAGCAGGAGGGAGGGAGGAAATGATCCCGCCACACGACTTAACTTAACTTTTCTCTATTAATTTTGTTGTATAGCACTACAATATTAATATGAAGTTAACTGAAGTTTTGAGACATTTTAAAATGCTTTTTTCAGAAACACATCTGACACGTGATGGTTGGGGGGAGGGGGGTTTAGCGCTGCGTGACTRCTCTTCTGAAGTGAAACYTGTGTAACACAGTTGTTTACAATGAAATTAAAAATATWTGACTAAAGAAAAACCGGAGCAGGAGTACAGAGAGAGATAAATATGATTTARATYTTTATTTCTGTGACTGTAYGACCCAMGGGAGAMACGACATTAACAGCAGTCATCATTTCATTCCTYGGCTTTAAAGCAGATCCTTTAATTCCACAGCTGATCATGCTAAAAATGACTTTATTTTTTTGTGGATCTCCGAGAGCAGAACAATCTCCGAAGTCGTAAAGTTCTTCCTTTTTACTTTGCGATGTCAATTATGAATTAGGGTTGGGCAATATTGGCAAAAAAATTAATCACGATTAATTGTGGTATTTAGCCGATAACGATTAATTTGACGATTTATKMYCYSSWG